TTCAAAACATTAAAATTTTCTAATGACTGAAATGCAATTTTGGTGAAATAACTGATAAACTTATAAAGGAATAAAAGTATGTTTTTTTCCTTTGTGTTTTTAATCTTTTTCTGAAAGCAACTAAAAAATGACAATTTTTTTTAATTAGAATGTTGTAATAACAAATAAGTAATATTATTGTTATAAAACTTGAAAAATGTAAAATATTAACGATAAGCTAAACGATAAGCTATTAACGATAAAATTTAATAAATAATAAAAAATAAAAAATAACAGGAATAATAAAAAAATTATTAATTGCGTGAAAAATATTAATGATATACCTGAAAGATTTACAGTTATTTAAATGAATATCAAAGAATTTCTAAATAGAAAAACAGATTTCTTAATTTATAATGTATTTAATTCCTAAATTACTGTATCAATGTTTCCAATTTTATTATGTTTTTACAGATGATGACGAATGTTACTGCATTCCTGGAATTATCTGCCCTGAAGGCACTATTGGTGGCGTTGACGTTAGAGTAGTGACTCCGGTAATATATTAGATGTGGGAAAAAGTTCGTGGCGTTTTTCCCGTTAAATGGCATTAAAAAAACGTCACGAACTTTTTCCTATATCTAATATTTCAGTTCACATTGAAAAAAATATTATAATGATAAAACTCATTTGAAATATTTACATATATTTGTAGCCAAATTATCTATTCTATATATATAAATTTTGAAAAAAGTAAATTATTATTTTTACATAAATATATCTAACGATTGTATAGTATATCAATATACTATTATATTAACTACAGTTTTATACTTTTATAGGACGCAAATTGCCCTACTGGATCTACATATTGCTGTGTAATCGACGATGACAGTAATTGTGGAAGAATACAATCACCGAGACCAGGCGATGGAACGTCAGGAGGGAAAGCCGCTTATGGTGCATATCCTTGGATGGTGGCCATTTTAACCATCCAAGGTAGTTATGTCGGAGGAGGAGTGCTTATCAGTTCAACACGTGTTCTTACCGCCGCTCATAAGGTGAATGAGTTTGAGTAAGTTAAAAATTTAATATTAAATTATAAAATTACATTTTTGAAGAATATGCCTCTTAGATCTGGTTACACTAAATATTACTTTAACTTTAAGTGAGGCTTGAAATTCTCTTTCTTCTTCTCTTTCGACTTTAAAGAGAGAAAATGAGATTTTAAGTCTCGCTTAAAATTAAAGTAACGTTGATGCAATCAGACCTTACAATATCTTTTTATAAATCTTCAAAGAGAATAATTTTTAAAACTAATATGATATAGATTTTTAATATCTTATTCTTATGTATATTAAAAATGTGTTACAGTAAGGACGACATTATAGCGAGATTAGGTGCGTGGAGTTTTGAATCTGAAAACCCGACTATAGATATTGACATCTCAAAAATTTCCATAACATGTACTTTTAATTCGCGAAATCTCCAGAACGATATAGCAGTGCTTAGACTAAGTTCACCTGCTCCTATTGCAAGTAATCCTAACATTAATACGGCATGTTTATCATCTACATCAGTTGCACCGGGAACAAGGTACGTGGATATATTCGGTCTAAAATTACTTTCTGTCTACATTTGAATTCTCTTCTATCAACAAAATGCATAATGATCTACTTTCTATTGTGTATTGCAAATATATTAATTTTTGTATCGTTTTGTTAAATGCCGAAATGTCCCTCCATATATAATTTTATAATATATCGCGATTACCTAATATTTTATTTTCAATATTTTGAAGGTGTTGGGTATCAGGCTGGGGGAAAAATGCCTTTATTAACGGACAGTTACAAAGTACTCTAAAAGAGGTAGATTTGTACGTATGGAGTAAGACGGATTGCCAAACGGCCCTTCAAAGCACCCGACTAGGAACCAACTTTGTCCTAGACGACAGTTTCATGTGCGCAGGAGGGGAAAGTGACAAAGACGCATGCATTGTAAGAAATATAACATATTGTCTCTTGCAAAGTAATGAATATTGCATAGCTATCCGGAAGTTATTTTTCAATAATTTAACATATTCATTAATTCTAACAATACCTCTAACAATTCTTTAAAGGGCGATGGTGGTTCACCGTTGGTGTGTTTAAAAAACGGTCAGTATGTAGTTGTTGGGCTGGTGTCATGGGGAATAGGTTGTGGAGATGAAGGAGTTCCTGGTATTTATACTAAAGTGCCTTATTTCTATAATTGGATCAAGCAACAATGACGTAACTCTTGAAAATATACAGCACAGTCTCACAGTATCTTAAACAAATTAAATAAAACTCTATATGTAATATTTGTCATATCAAATTAAATTTTGTAAAAAAATTTGTAATAAATTATTAATGTATATCAATATAAATTATATTAATATTAATGTATATTAATATCTTTCAAAATAATTGCCATAGCACTTCTCGCAGGTATTGTACAGGGAAAACTAATTAATACACGTCTGATAATTTTCTTTTATAATTGCTTAAATCTATAAGAAATACATAAAAAATATATAGACTTAACATTTAAGAATTATATGAAGGAAAGAATACATAAACATAATGAAGAGATTTGGTACTCTTGCTTATAAATTTGCATCCTATCTTATAAATTACGTATTACAATCAACGCAATAAAAATTACATATAAATAAAGAGTTTTGTAAAGTGGGATTTTTATAAAATCGCACTGTCAAATCAATATACAAATGAGATTTAAAAAATACTTAACTTAGATTACATATTTTATGCGATAAATTATGCATCAGTCGCAAAATCTTCTAATTTTTAAATTTTTTTCTAAGAAATTTATAGTAAAAATCGAAATTTTATTATTTATATCCGAGCATGTAGAGCGTATAGAGCATCATATAACGTAATATATTTGGTATTAATATGCCTTTGGGTTTTAATTTTTTATCATGTATCTTAATCATTTACTCTTAAGTAAATTGATGGCAAAGATGAAAAACTGACAGATTTCGATTCGCCAAACTATTTCAAAAAGGAGGAAAAATTTGTTAATAAATTTTATTTTGTAAGATTTCACGAATGTATTAATTTATCAATTATAAGCAATTGCTATAATATGTCGTTCAACCACTGCCATCAACTGTGATATTAATGAATTTTATATAGATAGATATTTATTGTATATTTGTACAATAAATCATGACGCATCTCGCGTATTTTACTATGGAGGTAGATATATTTGATAATGCAATGAGAGTTCAGACAGTTGGTGCATTAACGTGAGTGTGGGGAACTTGGACGGAGTGAAACGATGTTGGATGTGAAGCGGGCAGTGATAACAAGTGTCCGCGTTCCATTTCATTCACTTCTTGCTGCTCTGTTCCTCCTATAGAGCCTGTCGAACGTGCCAAACTATTACGCTGTCTGCACATGTACGGTGTCTCTCCAGGTGAAGGAGTCTCACGACCCTGTATTATATAAGTTATTGTCTATATAAATCTTTACAAATCTTATTAGTAAGGCTAAACAAAACGTGAAAGAAATTAATTTTTACGATTTACAAAAGATATTTGTCACAACATGTATATTAATAAATATATATTAACATTCTCTTTTATTTCTCTTGTTAGTCCAACACAAATGTAAAGAAGTTTATCTACAATTTTTGATTTCGTATCGTTGATGATTGTATCGATCTTATCATAATCTGGTTTTGAATTTAGATTTAGATAAATAATGTGAATTGAATGGAAAACGGCTAGTTATCTTTTCAAATAATTGAAGCAAGTTCGTTGAAGCATATAAAATGCTTTTTTTCTTTCACAAACAAATATAACTGTACTTTCAAATGGAAGTATAAAATTTAAGTTCCCAGACGTAGTAGACGAACTATCGCGATCTATAGTCGTATTTGATTCTGATTTTATTCCATCTAAGCTTCGTCCAAGGTACTTTGAACTGGGGTACACAGATGGAGCACTTATATTTCTTTCCATACTATACTAAGAAACCCCGAAGAATATATAGATGATGAATGATGCAAGGAAATTTATGACACGGTACTTACTTGTTTGGAAGGACCACAGCACGTCGCGTGATTGCAAGGTTTATCAGTCTTTGGACAATCCAATACGCAATCTTCCGTGGGAGTCTCTTTAATTTCGCTATTAGAATGATACTAGAATGATAGAAACATATTTTTAATAAAAATATCTAACAACAAAAATAATTCAAATTAGAGTCCATCATAAGCCTTGATTGAAACGTCATTTATCTGTGAGTCGTAGATAGTTTGAATATTCATCTTACGCATCATTAACTTTGAACAAAAGATCGTTAACTTCGCATTAAACGTACATGTGACTTACAGATAAATTTTTTAATCATAATTTACAAACATAGATAAAAAACGCATTAAAAATATATTACTCAAAATAACAAATTGCGTGCATTTTCACTTAGTTTTTTTACACAAATTTTTCTGTCTAATTCTGTTTTGTTTGATGTACGTACGTGAACAGATTTTTTTTTATAATACTATTATAAATGTACTATTATATATGTGTATTTATTTACGTCAATAAATTCTGGTTGAATAGTCGTCGAGTGTATACCCTCGTTATGGAAAAATTCCTTAACTTGTTCGGCAATTTTCATATATTCTGAAAGATTTCTACATCTTATATGCGCACTAGCTATAATACGATCACCCGCCAATTGCCACACATGGAACTCGTGTACAGCTAATACGCCATCTATATTCTCCAACAAACGTTGCTGTATAGCATCGACCTGTACAAATAAATTTACAAATCAAATAATGTATACCATGCATACATTTAAAAATCATGTTATGATTTATCGTATTATACAAGCCAACAAATATTACCTGAATGTGTGTTGGCACAGTCTGCAATAGAATTAAAGCTGATTCTTGAAGTAACGGCCATACTGAACGCAGAATAAGAATGACTAATAAAAGCGACAGTGCAGGATCAATGTAGAATCTATGTAAACAATTTTTTTATTATATGTTCAAAATTCTTCAGTATCTATATAGAATGTATAGGAATATATAATTAGTAGTATATAATTACCTATACTTCCAATTCGTTAGCCATACAATTAGAGCAGACGCAATTACAATGACAGACCCCAACGCATCGGAAAGTACATGAAGAAATACTCCTCGCATATTCATCTGACTTGCATCATGCGAATGGCCATGCGCTCGTTTTACTTGGGGTGTCGAAGGTCTATAAGCTTCATCATTTTCATTATCATCTGTGCCTACCAAAGTGCTTAATCTATTATGACTTCGAGATATACCATGCGAGTGACCATGAGCACTTCCATGTTCTGCAATAATTGCACTTATAAGTATCTATTGATATAAAATAGATTGCTTTTATCTTATAAGATATATAACGAAAAAATCGATTAATTAAATTTAATTTAATCTAAGAAATATTAATTGTTTTTCACAAATATGTTATAAAATACATTAAATATGACAGATTATTCAGAGTTTCATGAAATGCAATATAATAATAAATTTTCTTTTTTAATATCATTAATATTAATTTTTTTAAATTGAATATTTTTTAAATACTCGGTTACAGTTTGACATCAATAAGATAACAGATATTGATACTTTTCTTCCTTGACGAATTTTTAACATTTATATTATAACTTGGATACTTTTTTTTCTTTGCAATCTCGAGATAGAGTAATTTTACAAAAATTTTTTTTCTGTCTTATTTGCAAAAGCTTTGTATTTTAAATTTTGCTGTGATAATATATTTGCTAACCATGTACATTTCATAATCAATTTTTCTTTATCTTAACTCAAAATAAAATCTTTCGAGCACTAATAATAAGATAACATCACGATAATATTGAACAAAGAATCTTATAGGCAAACAGCAATTTGAATATACAATACTGTTATCCATAATCATAATTAAGTTATCATATGGTTAGATACGAAAGATGATAATTAAGATATGAAATACAAAAAATGAAATGCTTTACAAATATTATCTAACAGAAAGAGAAAATGAAAATAGAAATTTCTGAATAAGTATTCTTCTGTACATTCTTCTAAATATTAATATACAAATATTTAATATAAGCAGTTTTTATGATTTTATTTCTATATAATAACAGGACAACAACTTTAGAGAATCTTTAAAACAAGAATAAATGTCTACATATAAAAATAAATGTTATATTTATTTATATACTTTAAACAGTTTAAATTTTATCGAAATAAAAGTTGAGTTGTATGATACACGCTATACTCACCATGGAATAAACATAAACCTATCACATTCACCAGCAGACCAAGTCCCCCAACTCCGACCAACAGTTTAGCTTCGTGTATCTCTTCTACCTCGATAAATCTTTTACATGCTTCTACAGTAATACTAAAACATAAAGCGACCAAAAACACGGCGTTCACTAAAGCTCCTAATACTTCAGCTCTGGCCCAACCAAATGTGTTTTTGGACCATTTCTTCGGTGACATCTATAACACCAAAAATTGCAATCAACAATATTAAATATAATAAAATATTGGCAATAAAATTTTTCAACGAGAGATCTATTCTTTAGCTGCTTTAACTTTTTGCATTTTTTCTCTTTTTTTTTTTACGTTGAGCTATTTTTATATTCTCACCTGAGTGTCACCTAAGTATAATTTTACATGTTTGTTGTTTATCGAATGGTAAATAAAAATAATATAGTACCTAAGGAACACTCAGATGTGAATATATGATGCATATAAATTTATAAACGCATTTGTGGAGAGAAAAAAAGAAAAGATGAACCATGCAAAGAAGTTGAGCTAAAAAGAAGAGATCTAAAATCAAAACAAGCTGCAGAACTTACCTTCACCGAAAGAAATGCTACCACTAAAGCGGCTACGTCTGACAACATATGAAAACTATCTGCTATTAAAGCCATCGAGTTGGTGACATAACCAACTACGATTTCGACTAAAAAAAATAAAGCTGTCAGCCATAACATTGTCAAAAGACGACATTTTTTTCCTGTATAACGACCCATGGTATCTGTGTGGACCTGAAAACATCAGAAAAATAAGTGTTTTGCAAAATAACACAATACATCATGTGCATTGCCTCAAAGTATTCTCTGCAAGAAGCTTCTAATAATACACACTTATTTTTATAACCCTCTGATGAATCTATAGACGCAAGTATAAAGAACAACGTAACAAATTGAATAATTTATTACAAACGCTAAAGAATAAATATTACTAGAAATTATCTTTCTTGTTACGAATATCGTAATGTCAAGTATCAAATTAACTGATAAAGATGAGAAAATAACGTCGGATACAGAAATTCGTCCTTTCAAAATATCGAAAATTGATAAAAAACTTATCACGAGAAATTTTATAAATTCCTATTCACTTTTGCTTCCGTGTCTTTGTTTATCACGCGAATTTCAGACGATTATCCGAGAAACGTCCCCAATATACACGGAAGGAACTCTCTTATCTGATGTTCTTACGATCGAGGACGAGGATGACGAGAGATCGCGCGTAATGTACACGTGCGCTTCAAAAGTCACTACACAGTTAAACAATTTCCTTATATCTATTTACCACGAATCCGGTAATAGAGGGGAAAGGAAAAAAGGAAATGAATATGAGTCACAGTGGAATGGCAAGATACATGATTCATCGCGCGGGGAGAAAATAGACCGTCTTTTTAGCTATAACCGTTTGCAAGTTCATTTTTTCTCCTTTCTATTCCTTCTCCAAAGTCGAGAGAAAAGAAGAAAAATTGAATCGTACAAGAAACAACAAGGATTTAGTTAAAAACAACAGGTGGTCGATTGTATATCTTGAGACGAGATAAAAATGACAAAAGTGCAAATTTATTAGATATTGACCAATGACTATTCTTCTAATTTCGCTCGCTTTTGTAATTTTGACCTCGTTTTTAAGAAATACAATTGACCTTCTATCTTAATCATGCATTGCAAATCGAGGAATCTTTGATATCACAGGAAGGACTACATTAAATCTGTCCTTTTAGATCTGACTGAACCTTTTCCATGATACAGCTTTTTTTCTGAGGAAAAAGAAGAAAAGATGAACTGCATAAGAAGTTCAGTTAAAAAGAAAAAGCTTAATCATGCGTTGCAAATCGAAGAATCTTCGAGGATACCGATGGGATTATATTAAGTTTTTTTATCTGAACATCAAATGAACTCCACGCTTCTCCACGTGAAGAGAAAAAGGAGAAAAGATAAACTGTGCAATTAAAAAAAAAAACAAGCTTATTTTGCAGCAAAAGAGTCGGTTCTGGGTAAAAATTTTCGTAATCAAAAACGGGCTCGGAGATAATGGAAGAGCTGACATTACCATTTCAGTGTCCCGATATGAATATCTGGATGTCAGTCTGTAATGCGTAATTAATTTACAATCCTTCGAGCGTTTCGCAGATACATCTTGCGAAATGTAATCTATATGTATACAGTATAAAGTATAAATTGTACATAAGTTGTACGCGTACACACCCATATACATATTTTTGCCAAATAAAAAGTGGTCGATAATATTAATGATATTCGATTATCTCCAGGGTATCAATCATGTAACTTTTTCTCTAGAATGGAAAGCATGAAAAGTGAAAATTTTTATGATATACGTCACACATAACACACATATATGCAAAAAATTTTTACTTTTCATGTTTTTGCCCTAGGGAAAAAGTTACATACTCATTGACTCCCAGGACTCGTCAATCGACACTCCACGGGAATTTATTTCTAAACCTTATTATCCATAAGATCGGGAACTTATTATCCATAAGATCGATGATGTCATTATCAACATCCCGAGTCAAGGAAGCCAAAAAAAAAGTCGCAAGGGCGGTGAAAAAAAAAAAAGAGAAAGTACGCTTGTCACACTTACCTTCGAGGGGAAAATTCGTCGCACCCGTTCGCCGTCTTTGCCTTTCGCGTTCGCCACCGATCGTTCGATTTATCAAGTGACCCTAATTGAACACGGCGCGTGAAAAACGTTCCTGGACATATTCCGTCGCGCGATCACGCGTACGCACAAAGCGCATCGCTGGCAGGTACAGACAAGGCACACGACAAGGACTGGCAACGCACTGTAGCGCCCATGGCTAAACTGATTTTCTCTTTTCCACGCTACGATAAACAAGGCAGACGAAGACGCTGACCTGCGTTCGTAAAACTCCATGAAGTCTGCACTCTGTCGATCGACCAATCGCGCGGCGTCGTGGGAAGAATTGGATTTCCTGCGCATGCGCGATGAACGGTAAATCAGTGAAGTACCTTGAGCGTGAGTAAAAAGGGTCACTGTGTGGCTGTATAAAATTATACATAAAAAAATTTCTTTAATTTATAAAAAATATGTACTTATGCTCAGACATGTATACATAATTATACATACACGCGTCAATTAGGAAAAATTCAATAATTTATATTCGATAAAATACATAATTATACATACACGCGTTATGAGAAATAATTTATATTCAATAATTTATATTTTTTAAAAGTGAGAGATAAATTGGAAGGAAAAAAAATTTAAATAATTGAAATAATTCCAAATAAAATATATGACAAAGTAGACTCTTGCTTGTCCTACCTTTGTTCCAGTATTGTTTTAATGTTGTTTTAGCTAGGAACAAAACTATTATATTTTCATTCATAACTCTATTCTTCTTGTTTACTTTAATTAACTATGTATTCTATATTCTATAATTTACTATATATTCTAATGTATACTTATTCTATTTTAATCCCGTCTTTATCCAGTATTAAGCTCGTGTTTTATCACTGCGATCTGACAGTAAATTGCCGGTAGAAATTGAGAAGAATCATAATTAACTTAAATGGAGTAATATTCTATAGATTTCATTTGATATTTGCTGATAATCTACCATCATATCCGATTAGCAGATTGTATTCTGTCGACAAAATTTCTAACAGAAATCTTGCTTCGCAAAATCTGTTTTTGATAGATTGCTATTTTGGCTTTCAACATTCCATTTTGCAAATATGAATTATTTCCAAAATTGTAAACCTGAAACAGTTTATATATAAAATTCTTAAATATATTTGTAATATTGCTCAGATTGTCAAGAAAATTATGCGATGCGTCGAAAATAGATGTAAAATTCGTAGGAAACAATATGTATATATATATAGCGAGAGTTGTATCTTTATTATTTCAAATATTTGTAGCACAGGCACAATACGTTCAACTTATCGCTTCCGAATAAAATCGGAATCGATCATTATCAATCGATCTAATCGTCAGATATATGTAATATCACATATTCATAACGACGCGAGGTGTTCAAGAATGTTCACTTTTGAAAATCTATGTGTGAAAACATAATGCCTTCCTCTTCTTCTTTTTATTTTTTTTCCGATACGCAATTCTGTAGCGGTTTCGGTAATATTCGCGATTTCTTATATAAAAATTTTATAAATAAAATGTACAATTGAAGACCGGAAGAGATACAAAATCGGATAAACAACGTAAGTACATATTAAAGCTCTACAAAAAATTTTATTTTTAAAAAATTGAACGAAACGCGTTATGTATGGTAGGCATTTAACTCGGCAGTGGTAAAATTTGTTTGTAATCAATATGATAAAATTTTTAGGGACGTGTACATATAAATTGTTTATATTTTCCTTGCAAAAGATTGCGTCATGTTTGACGAAATTATTTATTATTCAGAAATGTCAATTAAAAATTAAAGAAAGTGAACTTTCAAAAAGTCTAATAAATGCACCAAAAATATAGAAAATTTATAAATTTCATTTCAAACAAAATATTAGCTATATCAGAATTAGACATGTAAAATACATGCGTGCACATAAAAAATATAAATATTATATACAGAAAATATATAAATATAACAAAGTTCATAATGCAAAATCGATTTTTACATATATAATTTTCGTTTTATTGTTTGTCCTTTTTTAAAATCAATCTAGTATTTGTATATGAAATTAACTATTTTTATATGTAATTTTAATATTTAATAAACAAAATAAAATAAATATAGTTCAATAGAACTAAGAATAAAAAATCCAGTTAAAAAGATCGATTCGTTTAAGTACATTTTTAAGATGTAATGTGAATAAGAAAAAAATATTTTACATATAAAAAAGAGTTCTGACACTTCAATTTTCTTCTTCCTCTATTCTTTTTACATTTATTGAGATCGATGTAAATGGGTTCGTGTTTACACGTAAATATGTACATTAAACGTTTAATATTTCTTTCTAGAAATAAAATTCGAAGTTACCATCCATAGGATGGGATAAGTTTACAAATTTCACATTAGAGTAAAAAGATATTAGCACCACTTCCTAAAAAAACAATTCACCGGAATATATATGTATCTCAGAATTCCGTGAAGATAAAAAAATTATACTTATTATTACAATATCGACCTACTTAATTCATTCTATAAATGCTTGCTTTTCACTAAAATGGTAGAATAAGAAACAAAGAATTATAATATAAATCTCTAAAACTTAATTTTACATTACGTATTTAACTTCGATAAAGGATGATATTCCGAATGATAACAGTAGTAAGGCCAAAATAATGAAGGAATATATTGGGATTGCAATCTGTTTTACAAAGAAAACTTCTTTCTGATGAAAGAAATTAGATAAAAAAATAAAAATTTTATTTAAATATCATGGAAGAAATTTTTTTTGTATATAATCATATAAGTATTATGCAAGTTGCAAAAATAAAATGCGACATTTCCAAACTTCAATACGCATTTTCGTTGCAGAATTTATTACGATTTACTGATATCTTTTTCATAAATGTAAAAATAAATCTTTATAAGTGTACTTTTCAATAGATGAATAAGTATAACTTTTTTTTAACAATTTGGCGTTTCAGTTTAGAATAGTTTAAATGTGCACTCCCGTAAAATAAGCGATTTCTTTTTCTTTTTTGCAAGCTTTTTCGCTTAGCCCTGTGGTACCACTGCCGGGTTAAGGATGAACAGGGTCCAGATTACCATACATTTGAATTTCTTACAAAGTCACATTTATTATCTCGATTTAGCTATCTCAGCATCATCGATAATACGAATCTGGTAATTCTATATACAATCTACCGAAATAAACGCAATAATCGGTAGTAATAATAATAGCGTCTTTCAAATCTTTTCGAAACTCCCTCTCCCTTCTTTTACTTTCACCTCGTTGATATATTTTTCTTTTTTTAATAAGTGTGCTGAAAAATCGGTATAAATGTAACCTACGAAAAGGAGTAATATTTACCGCAAAAATCGTCAATTGTAGCTTAGACAAAATTTGGAAGAACTGTAACGCCGTTTTTTTTCTTCTTTACGTCCTATTTCTACTATTGCCAACGCTATTTTATATCGGGTAGTTTTTTAAAAAATCGAACGGATACTCGTTAAATATAATTATACCACGAGTATAAGGTCGATTGTACATGTCACAGTTTATAGCTCGAGCACCATATTTGGCTAATGTCAATAATAATTAAAAGCAAATTGAACAAATAAAATTTCGACAAGTCTAAAATCACTACTTCATTTCTCTTTCTTTCTCATTCACTCTCTCTTTTTGTCTCAATTTGCTATCATTTACGCTACATTGCGACATTGTCGATAAACTTCGATTGTGATATTAAATACGATCTAATGCTAATCACTTACGTCTAAATTACTACAATCGGGTATTATTAACGATGAGCGTTCAATTAGTTTCTCTCACTGCATCTCGCGATGTTGGCTACTATGGCACTTGACTAATACTGATGCGCTGTTTTTGTTTTGACCCCTCTAAACTTCTATACCTTACATGCTATCATCACGGCTAACAATAAATTTAATTCGAACAACGATTCCCTATCTTATCTATCAATATTCTCAACTGTCCTAGCGACCAACATCGTATTCGAAACAGCAGTAAAATTCGTTTATATAAAGTGCTACAGGTCTTCCATAATTTTTCTAAGGTAAGTAGTAATTACTTCGTAAATAGTTTTGCTAACCAGCAACCGTCCGCCCTACTTGGCTTGGGCTGGGATCGGGGAAACGTAGGGCGGCGGTATGGTATCTTTCTTTTTGATTGGTATTGATCTAAATCTAGTATTTGGACGAAGTGCGAGGATGGGTCGTGCGTGCTTTTGCTTCCTAAATCGAGCGTGCGCAAGTTCTTATAATCTTTTTTTTACTTGTAGCCGTAAGCTTTACTTTCTTGTTTCCTTGACCAGAATTATGATTTATCTTCGTTAATAATTAATTTACTCGATACGTATATTCTCAGAAAAGAAGGAGAAAAGAATATTATTATTGCATGTGTGTGAAAAGAATAGTGGCGGAAATCATGGAGCAGCCCTGAGAGAGAGCGAACAACGCATCTGGGAGTAGTGCATGTGCGCCTGTGTATCTGTATATCTGTATAGGTATCTGTTGTGTGTGTGTGTGTGTGTGTGTGTGTGTGTGTGTGTTCACAGACACATATGAATCTCATGAGAATGAATATTTCACTCAACGTGTAAATTGCGAATTTACTTATAATTTACTCATTTAACGTTTGCTTTAACCTCAAGTCTTAAGAGTCGTGTGACGCGAATCCGCGCACCCGTGCCTCGAGTTTGTATACAAGTGACAACCTTCTACGCTGAATATCGACACTTCTGCAACAGAATCAATAGATTTCGTCATGAGACGTATATATATTTCATGACGTTGGTTGTGCGAAATTTTACAAAATCCTTACCATCAGGTAATTCATATAATTTTCTAGGAAGAGAGGCGAAATAGGGATGACGTAACGCTTCCTCCGCACCTATCCGTTGATCGGGATTCAGCTGCAGGAGTGACGACGCCATACTATCGCCCTCGGCGATATCATACAGCCGAGGAAACGAGAGTCCCAGTTTCCGCGGCGGATAAAATATCAGTCTGTGTGCTTTATATCCGGGCAGATGCGTGACACCTGGCCAAGTCTCCTCGGTAGGTGTGCCCAGCACTTTAAATATCTTATCGAGTTGGTCGTACGTACAGCGTACACCTGGGAATGTCGGTTCACCAGTTAACATTTCCACAAATATGCAACCTACTCCCCACATGTCAAGCGAGGTGGAGTATTCTGTGGAACCTAAAAGAACGTCGGGCGGTCTATACCATAAGGTCACGACTTCGTGTGAGTATGTATGCGATGGCACAGATTTGGCCCTTGCTAGCCCAAAGTCTGCCAATTTAAGTTCTCCTATCTCGCTGATTAATAAATTCTGTGGCTTTACATCTCTGTGCAGAACCCTCCTAAAGTATGCAATAACAAAAATTAATCAACGCGTCAAGATGAAGATATCGATATTATATACTATAAACTTTTTTTAATTACCTGCGGTGACAGTATGCCAATCCTCTCAATAGTTGAAAAAGAAACAATTTAACATTACGCGGATCCAATCCTCCATTCCCGAAATACCTCTCCATATATTGGGATAAATCGGTGTGAACATATTCAAACACAAAAGTGAGCGTCTCGCGGGTATGAATGATATCGTGTAAAGTCACGATATTGCTATGTTTTAACTCTTTGAGGAGACTTGCCTCGCGAATGGCAGTAAACGGAGCTCCTTCCTCCTCTTGCAGTCTAATTTCTTTAAGAGCCACCACTTGATTAG